CGATAGAAAAAGATATAAATTTTACTAAAAAAATTGAATTTTGGAAATTCTTTTGATTTTTTTGAATGATTTACGAAGAGATTGAACACATTTTGTACTATGAAATATCGTTATTAATAAATTTACTTCTTAAACATCTATTAAAATCGCAATTTTGAATATTTTTATGATTTTTTTTGACCCGATCACTTGCGCCCGCGCCCACTGGGAGGGGTGCTTGTAAAGTATTCAAAAATCAATGTAAACATTTCAATTTTTGCTCCCACCTCCCATTGGGAGGGGGGCATATATCTTGTAGCGTTCAAGTTCAAGTGATGAAAGTGCATAAGAAAGCTCCTTAATCATACCGATAGAAACAGCATTAGGGGCGCCAAATGGCGCTCGGTGATGTTTCCCATAAAAGCTTAATTTCAGGTATCCATAATCATAACCTGTCAGACGCAATAATTCATTAGCACACAATCATCGTTTCTCAATCAAGAAACGAAACGCACGATTGATTATGCTGGCCATTAAATTTTCATATCAAATAATTTACTACTTCAAGAAAAATTAAAGACTATCATCAACCAAAGCTTAAAATTCTCAGTGTTTACAACTCTCATACTTCGAATATGCATATTTCCAAAATAGCATGAAAATTTTTTTCATTTGAGCTCATTTTCTTTTGTTCTATTAACTAATACAGGCAGTACAAGCTTGTTATACGTATACTTAATAAGTAAGGTCTTAAGGGAAATAATAAAAAGAATTTTGCTATTAATTATATTAAACAATATTTATTTGTAATTTCGTGATAATTATATTTCTTATTACAAAGTAAAGGTATTTGATATAATGTTTGCCTTAAAAAATGTTTCCTTTGTCTTGCCACCATAGGTATTCTATTTTGTCACTTTTTGCGCGGCAATTTTTCTAAGTTATTTTGTTAAGCTAAATGTGTTATATATCAAATCTGCTTTATAAATATTATGGAAAAGTTTATTTTTATTTTTATTTTTAATTATTATTATTATTTTTTAAAGAGAAAGGGACAAACTATCCAGTGTCACTTTTCAAAGGAATAAAAAAATAATAAAGATGAAATAATAACATGAAATCTTATATAAATATAATTTTATCTAAATAGATAAATGAATTAAGCAGTTTACAGTTATATATATTTAAGGGTATAGTAAACTCAAAATTCTAGAGTTTTGAGAGTGCCAATAAACTCTATAGGCCTATATATATCTATATTTTAAAGGAGAGGTTACGCCATAATATTTGATATTATAAATTATTAATTCAAAATAAAAGTAGAAAATGAAACTAATTTTATTCTAACCTATATAAATATATCAATAATCTAAAATGATTATAGTCTGAACTATATTTTACCAGATTATCAAATATAAGAGAAATGAAATAAGGCATAAAAATATCATAGCATAATTATTGGATAAATGCATTAATAAATTATTTATATCATAATGAGAAAAAATCAAAATAAGAAAATGAGCATAATAATAATTTAATTAAAAACAAAAACAATAAATAAAATGTAATTTTCGTTAATCAAAGTCATCAATGTCTTCGTCTTCTGATTCCCATTCGGACTTGAAAACTTGATAATCTCCTCCTGGTACACTCTGAATGGATTTTTTGTATTTGTTCTGTTTTTTAGAACCTTTTGTAACAGTTTTTTGTTTCAATATCATTTTGGAGTAACAATTCTCTTCAAATGATTTGACACAATCTTCTGGAAGTGGGGAAGATGTAATGCTTTTTGTATATCTCCGAGAAAATGCTCTGGATCATTCCATTCTAAGATTGCAACGTTAACTCTAATGTTAATGTTCTTCCAGGCTCTTGATTTGTCCAAATAGCATGCAATTTTGGAGTTAAACGCTTCATTCATGCAGGTAGATCCAATGGAAGAAACTTTGGAAACTATGGGTGTCCATTTGTGAACCCAGTCATAGAGCATGAATTGAAGTTGGATCGAATTGACACCTTTTTGCCATTCAAAGCATTTGTAATTGTGCGGTTCGCAAAAAGAATGATTGCCTACGTAATGGTAGACACAATTCTCCCACATTTTCGTACGTTTGTCAATATTTTCTTCGGCAAAACATGACCAAAGCCACATACTTAGGCTTGCATTCAGACCCCAGAAAGGTCTCTCTATTTTTTCAATCTTCTGAGTCTTGTCGTTGAAAACTTCAACTGTCTTATGAGAAGCTGAGAACTTTGTAAAATCTTTTGAGATATTTTTTGATACATGACCTGGATCGAATCTTTCAAGATGAGAGACGCCAAATTCTTTAAAGACAGAGACACTTTTGTTATCTCGGTCTTTAATAATCTCTTTAACATCTTTCAAGATATTGTATTTCTTTAATTGCTTCAAGATGATTCGAGTTCCAGCACTTTCCATATTGTTGGAAGCTCCGGAATACTGAGCATGCTGTCTGTTTCCACCAATATGGTTGATGTTCACGCATGCAAGAACTCTTTTTGTGACAGCATCGAGCGCAGTTACTGTACAACTTGGCGAGTTTCGCCTGTGCGTCCATCTTGCATCAATGGATAAGTAACCACTGAAGGACTTTCTCGACAGCATTAGGGAAATACTTTTAAGTCTTCTAATCTTATCGTCACAAAATCTCTGTTGTCTCATGACACCACTCTTCACAGGGGGCTTAGTTCCACAAAGAGAAAGAAAGCGAGCACCTTTTGTATATGGCATTCCGGTCATTATGCAAGCACCAAGCATCTGTCGCGCTGAGAGTCGACGACGTTCGTGGAGTAAAATGTTATGCATTGCCTTTGTTTTCCGTTTTGGGTGAACAATATGGCCCATACAACAACAAAAAAATGAAATCCCGCCAAAAGTGAAAATTGAATAAAAAGTAATAATTAATAAATATATACTATATCATTAGATGAATATTTTGGAATAACATTTTAAAATCGAGGTTTTTCAATGGATAACGGTTCAATCAAAAATTTGACCCCATTTTAGAATCTACATTAAAAATGGAACATTTCTGTCGTTTCAAAATTCCAAAATAACGTTTCTATTCCTCTCAAAAGTAAAAATAAACTTTATTGGGGAAAAAATATTTTTATTTTCCAAAAAAAATGAAAACCTTAAATGCAAATCTAATTTTGATGCTTTTGTTTGTGATTTTTTGGATTTCGAAAAAAATTTGAAAATTCAGACAAGTTACCATTAACACTAATACGTTTCAGCGAGTCGGTCCCATCAGAGAAATTTTCATAAATCGGCGATATAATTTATTATTTCAGCAAAATATTCTCAGATCCAACTAGAATAAGGTCAAATTATACAAATTTAGCAAAGGCTAGTTATCCTACCTATTCAATTAACTTTAATTTTAAATAATTCAAGACAATTCTCAAAATTACCTTAATAATCGCGTTCTCTTCGCAAAATGACGATTCATCATTCACTACCAGCATAACTGAGGGCTTGTGCTCACAGAATAATACAGATAATTTACTTATTAATGCAAAATTTAGTACCAAAAGGTAATCATAGAAGATACAAAAAAAGTTTCTTTATTTTGATTGCTGATTTTATTTCTTCTAAAATTTACCAAATCTAAAAAATCCAAAATTGAATGCTATTGAATTTCATGTTTATGTAACATATACTATTTATTATATAAGGAATAAAAATTTTATAGTTTTAATCAAAAATAAAGGTGTACTAAATGCATACAAAACAAGGTATTTTTTACTCATCCAAAATATGTTAACAGTGCTATTTATATAATCAATATCCGAATTTCGAAATCATTTTGATGAAATCTTTATTTTAAAATTGAGTTGACTGTTAAAATCACCCGAGAAGAGGGATTATCTCAATGAAAAGTACATAAAATAGCAAACGCACAAGATGGCACTATGCAGCTTTATATTGTTATACAGGATGAACATATAAAATGTTTGGAAAACACTTACTTCGTTCTACAAATGTGTATCTCTTTATATCAAAGATTCTTCTCAAATTATTGAGAGACTTCTCTCAAAAAAAGGAAAATTTGATAACTAAAAAAAATTATGGCATAACCTCTCGTTTTGCATAGATATATATTTACATGGTCACAGAGCTTATTTTCATTGTCAAAACTTATTTTTAGTGGACTATACCCTTAATGAGAGACAATATCTAGTTCTATGGTAGAAATGACTCTTAGACTCAAATAAGTAACACAGATAGAAAGTACTCAGTATAACAATTATATATGTACACTCAAAGTTAGTCGCTGCTAAAATCTTAACCTTGCATTTCGGGAAAATCTGACAAATGGCTCTTAGACTCAAATAAGTAACACAGATAGAAAGTACTCAGTATAACAATTATATATGTACACTCAAAGTTAGTCGCTGCTAAAATCTTAACCTTGCATTTCGGGAAAATCTGACAAATGGCTCTTAGACCCAAATAAGTAACACAGATAGAAAGTACTCAGTATAACAATTATATATGTACACTCAAAGTTAGTCGCTGCTGAGTGTGGGACAAACTATATAGTGTCACTTTTTTATTAACCTTATTGTAAAAAATTAATAAAAATAATAATAAAAATTATTTGAATCTTTTACATTAATTGTTTTTTTTTAAAAGTACCTTTAAAGTACAATAAACAAGATTTGAATCTATTGATCCTTGTTGCAAACTTGAATATATTGCTTCAAGAATTTTCAAACATTCGACTTTTTTGTTTTCCAATATTTGTTCATGGTCATTAGCTTTTCGTAATATACGAACAACTTTATCACTATTGATTAATTGAACTTTAAATTTAATCAATAATGCTGGAACAACCGTTGTGTATAATTCAACAACAAAATCGTCTAATCGAATATTCCTTCTCTCTGGGAAATAAGAATGCTTGAGAACTTTGAAATGTGACTCACTGACGTTATTAGTCGCGTCACCTCCGTTGCGATAGCGATTATTCCAACGATCTAAATGATGCCTCCATTGCCTATCGAAGTACTTTTGGGCTTTCGGTTCAGTGGAAAGAATTTCAAGAATTCGATCATAAACTGCATCTAGGTCTGCAGCTTCTTCTTGAGTGAGGTGCTCTGGAACTTCTTCACTTGTTTCAAACGTTTCTTCTTCTGGAATAAATTCAGAATCGTTTGGATCATCAGAAGATTCTCGTGGTAAAAAGATTTGAGAAGGTTGAAATTCATTTTCGATGAATTCTTCTTCATATTGTTCCTCTTCTTCAATTTCTTCTGCTTGAAGTAAGTGAGATTGAGCTGGTTCCTCTCTAGGATTTTCTTCTTCTTGGTTCTGTTCTTCCTCGGGAGATTCTTCTTTAGTATCGAATACTAATAATTTCATTAGATTATAAAATTCTTCAAAATTGTCTCGTGATTTAAACTTATCCGCTTTTCTTATCTAATGGTATACGTTCCATCTTACCTATAGGTATCTTTTCTTTTAACTCTTTCAATATATTGTTTGTGTCTGGAATATGTTTGAGACGGTCCATATAGTTGTCGAAGTCATTGCATATAATCTTTGAGTCAGGAAATACGGTATGACATAAATGGATATATAGAAACTTCCACCGAACAAATCTACAAATGTTAGACCATTCGGTAGTTTCTTAAGTTCTCTCAATATAATATCTTTACATTTACTCTTATTTCCAAAGAACGGTAACGGAGGTTTTGTAAAATTCATTTATATATAATAATAAAAATGTTTTTACCCGAAAAGTAACAGAAAAGTGACAAAGCATGAAAACATATATAATTTGTGAAAAGTGAAACAAAAAGTGATATTTAAAAAGTGACACCATTAATATGATGTAAATAACAACGGTTTTGGTTTTGTCACCGGCTGGTCGGCTGGGGTTCGGTCCTCCTCTTGGGTCTTGGGCAAAATTTCTTATGGGCTAGAGGGCGCAACGCGCCTGGAAGCCCCACTTACCTGACCTGAATGGTATTGATCTTATCCAGAAATAAATATTGCAATGAGCAAATAATATTAAAGGGAAGAAGAAAATACCTATCTTTAGCTTTTGAAGTCTTTTTGAATTCATAAATTCTTTCATACATTAGATAGAATACTTATCTCGTGTACTGTGGCACTGCGTTCCACCTTACCCATTATATGTGAATTTGACACTTTACAAAACCGTTAACGTAAATTTTACAACACAAACGACAACACCAACTTAACCTTAAATATTTATAAAGCCGCCAACCACTTCACCTTACTACTGTAAAAATAAACGTTCTCACTTACAAAAGTATTGTAACTCTTCCCATTGCTGTGCTTCACACAATAGTTCATATTCTTCAGTATCGCTGCTGTCGCTCCAATCGTCAGAGTCAAAATCACTGTCAAAATAAATGTTAGTAAGTTTTGACAAAGCTAATGAAACACGTTTACCGTTTGTATCGTATGCTTGTATAAACTTTCCATTCTTCATTCCTTCATAAACGCTCAAACTAACTTTACCCTTTCTCCCTCGTATCTGATAGAATGTATTTTCACGAGGAACGAAGAACAAATTCTTGAACTCATGACCGTTGTAGTTTGTTATCTCAATAGTTTTCGTCATTTACATCCAAATAAACTTAAAAAATAATTTTAAAAATAAACTTAAAAATTAATGATATCACCACTCCCACACGTATGAAAACATAGCACAAAAATAAATTTAGGTGAAGTGGTGAGATCTCACCTCTTTTTTCACCTGTTTTTTCACCCTGTTGAATTCATTGCTTTATAACTCTCTTCCTTGATTTCTTCATTTTTCATCATTGACTTTATCCAACTCTTCTAACTTCTTCTTAAGTTCAGCAATGTTGTCCTCATGAAGTTTAATCTTTCTCAAAATTCCTTCTCTATCTAATGGTTGCTTTATCTTTCTAAACTGAACTCTACCATCCTTCATAGTATGAATGTAAAAACCTTCTGGAATAGTTCCTGATTTAATGTATTCTACCAAAAACTTTTGTTTCATTGCTTCAGTGACTTTAGTCGTCATTTCAATCAAAGGTGAAGCTAGCACAGCGATAATGGATTTCATGACTTTTAGTATTTCATGCAATCTTAACAGATAGCCTTACAAGTACTTCCAGTGTCCCTAGCTGTCCCTCCTTTTTATATAACTCCATGACATTTATAATCTCGCGAAACTTAACAGGTAGCATAACAGATTAAAATCAGATGAGGTTTTGAACCAAAATTTCTAAGCAACGTTGTCAAGGATTTTGAGGAACTAGGGACAGAGTGTGGCAAAGTCCAAGATTTAATTTATCTTCATCTGTTTCATCAACTATCTCATCTAATATGCCAATATTTTATTCATAACTCGTGGCAAACTCACTAACTTTCGTTATGTTCATCTGCATGCTTCATCTGATAGAAAGTATGACTTTCATTAACTCTGTGAGATAATGAAAACTACTAGGGACAGAGACCATGGCAAAGTTTATGACTTTCATTATTTCCAGAACTTAATGAAAACTACTAGGGACAGAGACCATGGCAAAGTTCATGATTTAATTTATTCTCTCACTAACAACAACCACAAACTCCAACACTAACGACAAACACAAACT